CAAAACAGCACCTCTGGGATGCTGGGCCAGTGGGCCTGTGTCCGTCCATCCAGTACCTTTCCCGATGGAGCCCTTTTCTCTGGACCTCTTCCTCCCTCTGCCAACTCTTTGAGGACAGGGAGGCTGGAGCTACTGGCCACTTGCAGGTCAGGAAATGGGGGGCCATACAGAGAGGCTGCCAGTCCAGCAAGATGCGCTACTACTGCCTCCCTGACAATGGAGTTGGGGGGTTCTGGTCCTGGCGACCACTACCTCTGAGCCTTGACAGAAAGGTGGGGGCTTGCAGAGACCCCCACCCAAGATGTATTATGTCTAATTTAGAAAAGACTCAGAGTAGCCAGATGAAGTCCAAATAGATAGCAAGTGGCAGCTCAGGTTGACACCAGGCCTTCTCCTCAGTGCTGGGAGCTGTCACAGGGACACAGCCCTGCAGCTGGAAACTCCACACAGAAGGACGGGGGGCAGCGGGGGAGGTGTGTGCAGAATGCTGCTTGCACCTGCAAGCGGCACACCTGAGATGCAGCAGAATTCTGTCATCTAGAAGAACCAAGGGCTTGACCATCCTGGCAGCAGCTGCATATGCCACATTTGCTGGGGACTGGGTCCTGGGCCAAGGGTCCCATGGCATCAGCTCACTGTCTTCCCTGACCCCTCCCCACCCCCCAGTTCAGCCTGGAAAGGTAGGACCCAGTGCCATACCCTGAGAGCTAGGACGAGGCTGCTTGGGAAGTCCATCTCTTGCAAGGCCTGGGCCTAGGGTGGGCCGAGCCCTCCCTCCACCCTCCCTCCTTCCCTGCAGGGCTGCAGGCTGAGCTGAGTCACTGGCTCTCCTGGGTCGTTCCAAAGCCAGGACTGGTCAGGGCCTGGGGCAAGACTCACAGCTCCAGAAAACTGATGATGTTGGTACCTTAGGAGGATCAGAAGCTCCCTTCTCCACCCTCTCCAAAGTGAGGTTCAGTCACAGTTGTGGTAAATGCCGTCACTAAAAGCGCAGCATGTGTGCACTGGCTGTGGTTCAGTTACGAAGTACAGCATCCATTCTAGCTAGTCTAAGAAGAAAGGGACTTGTGGCAGGGTAGGTGCTAACTAGCTCCTTGGACCACTGGGGAGGCTGACAGAACAGCCTAAGTCAGTGTGTCAGGGATGATCCCCAAGCCATGCTGCTGAGCTGTGCCACCAGGGAGGCTGCTGCCTTGCCTCTTCTGGGCTCGGGCCTCTGGCTTTTGACATGGGGAGTGGCCACCACCAGAGTCAGGAAACCGCCACAATCAGGGAGCTGCGGCTGCTTCTGCCTCTGCTGCGGTCTCCACCTGCAAAATGACACCCAGAAGCTCGTGACTGGACTCTAGGACTCCTGTCCTGACCCCTTCTGGCAGCAGAAACAACAGAAACACAGCTGTAGCAGGGCGTCCAGTGGGAAGAGCTGGAATTGTACTTGGAGTCCTGGCTGCACTGGAGTTGGGGAGGTGTAACCGTTACGTCTCCAGCCTCTGTAGCATGGCAGGGTGTCCCAGGAGGAGGCTGGGTTTCCAGACCCAAGTGTTCGATAGAGGCAACTCACAGGGAGAGCCACCCAAGCACTGTGGGGTAGGGGATGATTCTGCAGAAGTGGCGTTACAGATGAACCAGGAACGAGTGTCAGCAGGCAAGAAGCATGTGACTTTTAAGTCCCCTGACTTCAGCGCATAGAAACCTCTTCATCGTGGACACCTGGGCCCCACTCTCAGACTGACTCGGTGGGACCTGAGCAGAGGCCAGATTTCCTCCCCCCTTGTGTTCTTGACAAACTTTTCCAGTGTCCTTTAGGTACATTCTGTTCTGTCCCTCGATCTTCAGGATAAACTTACGAAGCAGCCCCACCAGGCTTTCTCACCTCTTTCCAGAGAGGAGGAAGGTGAGGCGGGGGAGGGTCAGTGGCATTCCTCGTATTGCCCAACTTGCTGGAGGTGGAGCCACCTGACCACCACCCCAGCCCTCTCCACAGCTGGCCGCCACTCCAGACCTCCGTGCCACAAGCCGCGGAAGTAGAGAGCTCCTCTCCACTGCTCGTTCAGGCTGACCAAGGAAAGGCAAAGACAGGAAGGCTGTACGGGGGGCGAGCTGGAAGCAGCTAGTCTAGGACACCAGGATCCCAGCAGTGGCCCTGCCTATGGCTCACGGAGGTCAAGCGGGACCTCTCTTTTTTTTTTTTTTTT